ATGGAAGGGTGAGAGGAGATGGAAAGCAAGAAGTTAAAGAAAAGGGAAAAACAAATAAACAGACAAGTAGGAGAAAATGAAACAAGGAATCAAACAAAAAAGTTTCAAAGGTATAAACAGGGAGCCTTAGTGTACTAATCAACAGTAAGCTGAACAGGCATTAGAGAGACAGAGAGAGGACTGAAAATAAAAAATAAAAAGAATAAAGAGAAGAATAAAAATAAAAAATAAGTAAATGAAAGAAATATATATATAAAAATAAAATAAAACAAAATAAAATAGATAATAAATAAATAAATAAATAATAAATTAAAAACCTCCAAGTTCAAATGCAATGAAGTTTCAGTCTTAATAATTTTGGTGTCTGTCTCAGTCTCCAATCCTGGAGATGGTACCTCAGATGTTGTTCTGTAGTTGTCTCATCAAAAGGGACACATAAAGTAGAACAAAAGTGCACAAAAAAAACAAAAACAAAAAACAAAACCCACAAAGTGTCCCAAGTTCAAATGCAATACAGTTTCAGTAAGTTTTTCAGCATGGAGGTGTAGTTCGGTTATTTTCTCATCAGAGGTAGGGAGAGAGAGAAAAAAAGAGTCTGGAGACAGGTCTGTGAATGGTATCTGTGGCTGTGGCTTGCCTGCCCGCTGCTGTCAGCCTGCTGTCGCTTGCAGCGTTATTTATGCAGATCTCAGGGGTGAGCTTAACACTCACCTGGCCCTGCAGGCTTTGTTTGTTCAGAGTTCTCCTGTGTGCAAGCCTCTGCTACAAGCTTTCCCCTTTCCAAGCACTGGGGAAAGTGACACTACACCATTTTTCAGGCCTGCGTGTTTGTTTACAGCTCACGTGGGAAGTGGATCTTCCCCTATCTCCTGTGGAGTTTTGCTCCCTCCACCACTCTCACAAGCTTTCCCGATTCTGGTTGCTTGGTGCACGCCCCCGCTCCCACCGGAGCCTCTCCAGTCCACCCGTCTTATTTACAGTTCCGGGAAGGATTCCCTCCCCCCAATCTTCGGCACTCAGTGCACCCCACCCTCTTTCCCGCGTGTCTTTATTGTTCTTATTGCTTATTGCTCAGTTTCTCTTTTTTCCCCGGGTGGGGGTTGGTCTGTCCAGGGGGCTATGTTGCTCTGGCCCAGGCTTGTCTGTGGGAGTACCGCGGTACCATTAAGCTCACCTTGTCCCCATCTTCCCAAGCCGACTGGGTGCGGGCAACTGGCAGCCCAGGGGCCTTCCTGGTTTCTCTGTTTAATGTGAATTGGAGATGCTCTGCGCCAGCTGGAGGTGTGGAGGGGTCAAAGTTTTGCCTCCTCTCGGTGGTTTTGCCTGGAAGGTGTGTCTCCAGTGTCTCTCCAAGATTTCACTATAGGAGACATGCTTTCTGCTTCCTCCCTCTAGCCACCATCTTGGAATCCAAACATAAGTTATAAAACATCCTCTGGTCAATCAAACCTGTCAATCACCCTAGCCCCTCCTGCAAAGACCACCCTGGTTGTTCCACTCTCACAACCTATAAATTGCCCTTTGAAAAAACATCAGGGCTTTTGTGCCATCTGGCCAGAGCCCACCACTTTCTGTGGTGGTATCTCCTCCTGTCCATGCTTTCTTTTCCTTTTCAATAAAACTTTGCTACTACTTTCCCATCAGTGTGTCTCCATTCAATCTTTACTCAGGATGCAAGGGCCTGAGATATTCTTGACCAGGGTCTTCTGAGGCCACCCACAGTTAAGATCATAGAACATAAGGAAAAGGTGGGAATAACAATTATGACCTCTCAATCTTCGTCTACCTGGAAAGGGCCTGCTGACCTCTCCTGCCAGCCTGGAACCTCTAGGGTCTTCTACATCTTGAGGCCAGAGATGGGGTCCTCCTTCTTGCCCAGTTGGGTTCTTGACACCCCACCCTGAATTCTTTCATCATTCCTCCAATCCCAAAGGGGATTAGACCCGTTTGTTATGGTTCAAGAGAAAGGGCTGTGCTTTCTACTTCCTTCCCTGTTCCTGCTCACTGTCATCTCCAGCCCAGTATCTATATCCCTGCCCATGTGCCTCTCCCTCAGCCACTGCTGTTACTGATCTACCCAGGGTTCTTTTTCTACATTGGAGATAGAAATCATGAAGAAGCAAGCAATATCAGCCAAACATGGCTTTATTGGAGGTTTTATGCTCAAGCACAAAAGAGACAGTGCACAGTGAGGGTTTCCAGACTGGATTCCTGAGAAGGAGCCCAGCACAGCTTTTATAGTCTGGCTGTTGTCCTGAGCAGGTGCACTTGGCTGTTGTTGCACACAACACAGGATTTCTGCACACATACTGTCTTCTGCTCTCAGCACAAGGTTTTCACTCAGTATAACAATCTGCTCATGTCCATCTGTACTTGGCTTGCAGTATGGTGGACGGCTTATCTCTGCCACCCAGGAAGGTCATATATGTGTTAGAATCAGGCATTCTGCTGGGGTGGCAGGAAAGTCTCTCACAAGCTTAGAAAGAAGTTGGTGGTTTCAACATATATCTCAGAGAACATAGCCTATTAAAATAGCTTACATTAGGAATGAAAGTTCTGGGTGGGAGTCTGGGCCTCCTTCTTTTATCTAACTGCTGTGTTCTACCCACCACACACTACAGGAACCTTACCAGTCTTTATACCTGCCCCCTTCATGGGCAAGAATGAAGCCCAAGTTAACAGCTCACGCTGAGGTGCATCAGCACTAACAGACTCAGACCCCAAGAAATGTAGTGTCAAAGAAGTGAGAGGTCCCATATTAGGGTGGCATGCTGTTGGAGTAGAGCAGAGGGAGGGCCCGAGTGCTCTGGGGAAGCCACGAAAGCCCTGGGATATAAGCCAGGCACCCTAGACCAAGAACTCTGTCCATCTTGCCACACCAGGTGCCCTGTCCAGGGGAGTGGGCAGTGTTTTGTGGGAAGAGAGCAAGCAAGCAGCTTGCCAGACACAGGGGTGCAGCAGCTGAAGGGACTCTTCTGCTCACATCCAGCATGAGCGCAGATGAATGCCCTCCCCAGGAGGTGTCTGTGAGTCTTCTCAGAACCCTTCTGGATTTGGGATAGACCTTCCGACCAGGACTCCTTGATGAGCACCTCCTCAGAGCCCTACCCCTGGGCTATCTGTTTTTCCTGTGCCTCTTGAAGCAGAAAGTTCTGCTGGGAGTATTGGTAAGCCCCATCGGTGTAACAACAACCTTCATTTTCCCACAGGATTCCTTCAATTTTCTCCATAAGTTCCCGCAGCTGGGCCTCCTGCTCAGCTGCCTCCGCCCCGTTATTGAAACCACAATGGCGCCGCTCACATATCACATCCAAGTTGGCAAGGCTCTGGTTGTCGTTCTCACGCACATAATCTTCCAAGGAGTCCCCGGCCAGGTCTTCCTTCCGGGTGAACACCAGGATGGTGTAAGCCAGGATCCCTGCTCCAAAGACCTCTTGGAGGCGTCTGACGGCATGCTGATCCTCTTCTGTGAACCGGCCCAGCTGTGTCACCAGGAGCACCGCGTGAGGCCCTGGTGAGGAGAAGGCTACAGCTTGACAGATCTCCTCAGCTGTTACTTCTGGCTGGACCCAAGAGGACAAAATGTCTGGGGTGTCGATCACCTCGAGCTCTTTCCCATCCCATTCTCGGCTCCCTTTCTGAAAGGTCTTGGTCACTGGTCTAGTGCTGAGTTTAGACTCAAACACTTGTCTGCCAAGGATGCTGTTTCCTGTTGCACTTTTCCCACTTCCTGCTTTCCCCACCAGAATGAGCCTCAGTCTCCTTGGGAAGAGTTCTTTCTCCCTCAGACCTAGAAGAATTAGAAAGAATTAAAAAAGAACTGGGATCAAAGCCCATCCACTCTGCTTATCAGAAGCCATGTCTCAGGGGCTCTCTAGAACCTGTGGGGCAGATTGTCTAGGTTGAGGCAGGAAAGACAAATGTCAACATCTGACTCTACAACCTGCCCTGGTCTCGCATTCTTAGCCTGTGTCCTTGAATTTGGGTCTAGACATTCCTACCCAGAGGGATATCAGAGCCATCACCTTGGAGGCTTGGAGATGCCAACCAAACATTGAAAAACCTAGATTTTGGATATGCCTGACAGCGATGGGCAAGAAGGGAATTCTCTTCTTCTGGCCTTTCAGGTGCAAAGACCCAGTGCACATAAGCAACAAATAGAGGTTTCCAAGTGTGGTCCCCACTGAAGACATTGATGGGTCTCAGGTCACAGAGCACTGTAGTTGGACTCTACATTCTTCTGAACCCCCTCCCCCAGCACCCAAGGATTTTGCCGTGCTTGCCTGAACCCCTGGCTGACTGACCTACAGATCAATTCTAACAGAATGACATTGGTTTTCTCCAGCTTCCCAAACAAGGCTGGAAAGGAGTTTGAGTGAATGGGTGGGAGATTCAGAGAAATGTAGATGGTCAGATATCCCTTCCTGCCTGCCCAGCCAAAGCAAAGTTGGGGGGAAAAGACTAACTCCCATTTGAGCAGCTGACACCAGCTCCCACCACGAGACTTGAAAGCCGAAAATATCACTTGAGATCCAGAGAGTAGTTGTTGAAGGAATATCTAACCTTGCTGAAAGAAGCAAGACAATTTAGCATATGTTGATTTGCCTATGTGGGAGATTAACATGACATGTTTCTGATGGTCCAGGCCCTTCAAATTCATAAAGCAAAAAAAAATCATTTATGTTAAAATACATAATGAATTACAAAGAAATTCTTCTAGACAAGAAAATGGGTGAATTTCATACCAGGACAGATAGCAAAGTTGAGCCCTTGAAAAGGCTGAGCCCAGTTCTGAATAATGGCCACCAAGTACATTCTGTTTTGTCACACAGTACTGTCAACCCTTATGACCTTGAGGGCTCTAACATCAGAGCCAGACAAACACCCACACACCCCTGCCTCGGCCCAGGCACTGTTTCCATTACACCCAATACCGACATAACCTTCCCACAGAGTGTGAAGACCCTTTTCACTAGGACTGGCATTTCTTGCCTCCTTTTGCCCACCATACATATTGGAAGTCTTCTTCCTTAATTTTGGCCAGCAGAAAGAAGGGTCCTAACCCAAAGGCCTTTTTCCTCATCTTAGCTGAGGTCATATGTCTCTGTGATTAGTGCCTACAGCTGCATCTCCAATCACTTCACGGGTGAAGCATGTTCCACCTACACACCATGTGTGCCCTTCTGCTCCTTCCTCTGGTTTGCTTCTGCTAGAAAAGTAGTTTTACCTCCTGACAGCTCTTGCATGGGGTCCTGGGGCAGCAACCCTGAGGGAATCTGTTCATATTCTTCTTCTTCCACCTAGAGAAAACAATAATAAATTTTACTGATTTTCTACTTGCATTTTAAGGGGCACCTGTCTTTCTCTTGCCAAAGGGAAGGGTGTTTGCACTGGTTTATGGGGGAGTGCTGAATGATGAGAGGGCAGGAGTGGGGCTGAGTCACTCTGCTGGTTTTAGGGAATCCTATCTCCCTTCAACCCCCAAGTCTGGTCTCCACCAAAGAGATTTCAAAGAAAAAGGGGCCACTGGTGTGGAATCTGAGAAAACAATGGAGGTTTGGAGGGCAGGGTCTGTAGTTGTGCAGGGAGAAGGAGGAACTGACCCAGAAGCAGTGGGACCCTAATTCAGTGGGACCCTGATTCTGTGGGTCCCAGAGCATCAGGAAAGTCTGTGCCACAAGTGTGCCTGGAAAGCAGGAAGTTCTGGGGGAGTTCAGTTCTTCATCCTGGGGCCACCCAGGCTTCATCTTTGGACAAGGTTAGGAAGTGAGGATTGAGAGTGCTGAGAGCAGGTGGCTGGGAATGGCTGTTGGGAAGAAGATGACAGCCATAGGGACCTTCACAGTGGGAGCTGGGCACCTCAGTGATAGATGGAGTTGTGGCCATCAGGTAGGAGGCTCACACTTCCTGGGCCTCGACGTCCCTTCAGGGTGAATGCTGGGCATAAACTGGAAAAGACCAAAAAACCTCTGCCTCAACAAGGTCACAACGTACTCAGGACATTTTTAGAGTCACTCTTCATTCTCTTTCCAGATTAGGGCTATATCATCCCCATCCAGGACCTTCCAATGTGTCCTTGCTTCATGTACCAACACAGTTCTCTATTTCAAGAGCCACAGTGCTGCATCTGCTTGATTTTTTTTCTGTGGGATTAAGGAGATACCTACCAGTCCAGGACTGCTTTTCCAGAATGTGTAGGATTTTCCTAGCCAGATTACACTAGACCAGGTGAAGACACTGGGCTGTGTGGGACCCTACTACAGGAGACCTCAACAGACACAGTCTTCTCACCATAGCATTGCTGATATTTTGCTCTGTTCACCTGACAAACTCCTCTGTCCTCCCTGATTCCCCAGGAGCTGGCTAGAGGAAGGCCACAGGACATGGCTTTGTGATTGTGTCATTATTCAGTAAATGTCAGATCTAGCAAGCTAGGCTGGGAATGGAGGTAGTGCAGGAAAGTTTGGTAACTTCCCAGGAAGAGAGGGGAAGCAGGTCAGATGGACAGCCTCATGCAAGCCTGGTCAGTGGCACGAACACAGTATCCTACCTATCAAGGAGACTCAGGGAACAGGGAGGTCACTGCCTCCTACATGTATTAACCAGGGTCTGAAAACTACAGACGCTCTCAGTCTTTTCACCCCTGGCTTCCTTATATCCCTGGTGAAAACTGAAATCTCACTTTACCCTTGTAGCCTCTTTCGTCCTTCAGAAAGAATGGGCAGCTTAATGGAAAATAATGACTGGGCCCACTGAGGCTGAGGGGACTGAGGAGCACTGGAGGCACCTGGCAACAATACTTATGGATCCTGTACTGGTACCTGGCATGCCCCCTGACTCTGCCCCTCAGAGCCTCACTGCCTCATCCTAGGCCCTGCCCCACCTTTCACAGTGCTGCACCCCTGGGCACACTTTGTGAGTTTTGTTTTTTGGGTTTTTTTGTCTCCAGCTGAGAAAATGGAGCAGATGTTATCACCCTTGTTATGTTGCTCAGGAAGAAAACAAGACTCAGGTTGAGGTGTGGCTCGGCGGTAGAGCATTTGTCTAGCGTGCACAAGACTCTGGGTTCCATCCCCAGCACTACAAGAAAACAAATCAACAACAATGTTCTTCTCTGAATCACAGAAGCATCTTTCCAAACATTGAGCTCATCACAGGACCTGACTTCTTTTAACCTCTTTCTATCATATCACATAGCACAACACACATGAACACACACAGAAACACGCAAACACTAACAAATGTAATGCATGTACACAATTCACATATACACCAAGAGAACTCACATACACAGTTCTGTAAACACATATGTGCACTCAAACATGACACACACACCATTCAAAAACACACATGTAAACACACACACGCACACACACACTCAGACTTACCCCTAGGCTGGCAGACAGGCAAGAGGAATGGCTACATTTCTGGTCTCTGGTGACCACGTGTTCCTGTGAAGTCTCAGTCTCTCCCTTTGGAGCGGATACATTGTAGTCTCCCTTGAGGAACGAAGGGAAGAGCCAGAGGACAGATTCCAAGATATATGATCTCATGTATGAACTCATGGAGGACAAGACCAAATAGTTGCTTGTATTTTTCAGCAAAATGTAGTCTGAGCTCAAGAACTGCCCTCAAAAGAGCAGCTTTGACTGTGAGATGAGAAACAGGAAATGGGTAGGAACACAGGAAGTCAGGCGCTTGCACTTTAAGTCCTCAAAAAAAAAAGTAAAAAAAAAAAAAAAAACCCTAAACAGATTCCAGTGTTGGTCTGTTTTATCCTAATCAAGTATGAAGCTCAGAGACTTAAGCAGCAGCCCTCTCAGAAAAGCTTGTGCTGGAGACACAAACTATTGATCTCCCTTTTAAAGCCTTGCCCACAATGTCCTATGGGATCAGTAGGGGGCAAACATTCATAGTCCTTTTTCTCCCCCAAGCCCTCCTTCCTTGAAATATCTTTCTTTTTCTAAGAGCAAGGACTAATAACTCATTCTTTCTAAGACATAAATCACTGGTAGGAATTTTAATTGCTATATCACCTAGAGGATTGCACTCTAACAGGAGAGCAAGTGCAAGAGGACGTCTTGACTGTATGATTACAGTGATGGGGTGAGGAAGAACAGTGTTCTAGAGACAGAACAAGAGAGAAAAAAACCTTAGGACCCTCAACACAAAAACAAGCCAAACCCATTTTCTCGGACCTTCCCCACACATCTGACCACCCTAATAAAAAGAAGTCCCCTGAAAGAAAGAATCCAGACAATCTAAACATAGGTGATGACATTGTTACCATGCAGTTCAAAATGTTAAGATTCCCTCCAAAGTCTCCATCTGTTCTGGTAAATATCCATGCAGGTTTACTGCAATTGTTACATAGTGTTTTAATCTTCTAGCTCTAGCTTTTCTGCAAGTGCCTTAACATGACTATGTCTTAGAAGTTGTGTGTTGAGCTTTACATTCCTTCCATTGCCTAAGTAATGAAAATATTGCTGCTTCACTCAGAATTGAAATAAACCATCTATTTTCAATACTAATAGTTACTATTTTCTGCAAACTGACCTTGGAGTTGCCCAGGCCTGCTCTGCTACAGAGATCAGCCTAGCATTTAGCTGCTGAGATTTCAGAAGTGTTTGTTACTGCAGCATAATGGAGCCCAACCTGACTACTAAACACAGAATGTAAATCTGACTTTCAACTTTTTTTTTTTTTTTTTTTTTTTT